CATCCCCAGTATCGTGATGTGTGCTGTATTGCAGGAAGCATATCATTCTGCCTACCACGAGGCTTTCCTCGGTGCTGAGAAGCCTCGTGAGGGCTTTCTTACCGTCACACGCTGTCACTTGATGTGACTTAGCCAATCCAAAGTCTCCATATCGAGATAGTCTTCACTACCATACCGTCGCCCCGTCTATCTCGCCCTGTAGCATACATAGCCATCATACAGTTGCAACCTCGCTTCGCCAGCCCCATCCACCAGGTACACCGTCACCGAGTTGGTTCATGCCTGAAGCTTTGCATATGTCCATGACGATGCCTCTCACAGCCCTCACCTCCTCGGCAGATGCGCCACCGTTGAGAGCGCCTTTGAGATGACCCTTCAGCTGAGGATTCACATCCTGCGGTATCAACCCAGCAATGAGAACGTAGGATGTCTCTACTGGAGACAAAACGTTGGTATTGCTGAGTATGTACCCATACATCAGCCGGGCGGTTAAACCGAGGTCTTCCGTGCCCGAGCGGTCCATCTGACTCATTACCCGTCTCGATATCTTGCCGTAGATGTTATCCCAGAAGCCCTGGCCGCGCTGCAAGATCTTGGAAGAGGGAGTGTGGTGTATGTCCACATGCCGTGCAGTCGGCGATGAAGAAAGCGTATCATTCGCACCTTGCGGCTCATCTAGTAGGTGCTCCGGTGTCACTTTCTTCAACTCCATGAGAGAATTGATGGTCTACTTCATGTCAGTGACTGTTTCCAAGTAGAGAAGTACAGTATGAAACCGGTACCTTGGGCAGGCCTCCAACTGCAGAAGCCTTGACGAGTGCTTCACGTAGCTTCCTCAAGATTGTGAGGTGTTCCTCCGGGCCCGGCTTCACATCATCAGGACCGAGGCCGTGTTTCATGACATGATCGTAGACTTGCGGTATCTCATCTGGCCGATTCAGTATGGTCAAAGTCGTGGCAGCAATGAAATACCAAGCATGCTTGGGAACATGTGGTTGATTCTTTAGCGATGTGAGGAGCGCTGGAGTAGCAATGGGCATCAATCCAGCTGTCATCGTGGCCATGGATGAAGCACGAGGGAGTTAGAAAAGTGAGGTTTTACGACCAAGTTATCATTGTCGCATTTACCGAGGCAGACAGATGACTTTCCAAAATACCACTTCAACTTCCTCAGCAGGGAGATGGGAAACGACTACGGCGTCTCCTTTGGCAAAAGCTATCCGTTTTCAAGCGGACATGAGAAGAGCGCCGTCCAACTCATTGCGGAAGACGAACGCTGTCATCCTTATCGGGGGCTCGGTGACCAAGATAAGGAACGGCAGGGCCGGCCTGTCGTTTGGATCGTGGCCGGAGTCGGCTTAATGTAGCCCCGATTTAGTCACCTTGTGTAACGAACCATCACGTGCTCCACCTCCAACCTTCCCGCGCTACCGCGTTGAGGTAGTTGGATACTGTGGCGTCACTGCTCTGCTCAGGTAATCCACCGCAGCAAGTGGATGCTTGTCATTAACGTGGCATCAACTACGGCCTCCGAAAGAGACGTACTACCACGCCAACACCGCGCATCCGGACTTTCTTTGGCCTGCATCAACAACATGGGCACCTGAGGGCTTCCCTCACTCCACATCACCAATTCCCGTGCTAACAGCCCATCAAAAGTCAAGATGAGGCTCGCGTGGTACGCAGGGGTAAGTGACGCTGTTGGAGCTATCGAACAAGCTCCGTTCGCATAGCTCCGTCTCCGCCAGACACGCCTGGCCATCTCGGAGCTGTAACTTGCTGACCCAGAGACATAGGTTTCCACGGCCCTGGCGGCCTCGGTCGTCGTATCAGCCTTCCACCAACGAGCCAACTTTTACTCGGCCATGGTCTACCTCGCGCAGAGCAACTTCTGCTTATTGGTGCGTTATCTGGCCTTCCTCGTGGTCCCGCTGCAACCGAAGCTGATTAGTGCTTCCAGGTCCTGGTCAACTTCATTTACCTCATCTACGGTACCCTGATATACGGCCTGCAACGACTCCTGTATGGCCCGCTGCGACAAGTTGAAGTCGAGCAACTTTCCGAAAAAGCCTGGTTCGCTATTACCGAAACATGCCTCGCGATGACGATATTCCGGGAGGAGATTGGCGCGTGGTTCCTCGTCATGTTTACCGCACTGGTGACAGGCAAGGTCTGGGGCTGGATTGGCGATGGCCGCGTTGAGGTTCTCGAGCAACAGCCTCCTGCGAACCCGGGTCTCTTCCACACTAGGCTCAGCTTGTCACTTCTCTTAAGCTTGGTATACGACACTTGGCTCCTTCGATACACTGTCTCTACAGTTATCCAACAAGCACGTCCTAACATGATGGTCATGTTCCTCTTCGAATTCGCTGTTTTGGCAACATGCTCAGCACGAACCGGAATTCGGTACTTGGTGTCAGTGATGGAGCAGAACATTGTCAAGACGCAAACGAGATTGCGCCTGGAGGAGCGACGAAGACAAGTTCGCGAGGAGCGCGAGGAACTCATCCGACAGCGCGAACAAAACGGTGCGGGTGAGGATCAGCCCGAATTGCCTCGTGAGGAGGACATTGATGAAATGGACATTGAGGTTCCTGGATGGGAGGCAAAGGGTCAGTGGATACTGATCCTGGACCTTTTCGCTGGTAAGTTACACCGAAACTCTGCGGCCGTGGCCATGCTTTGACAGTATCCAGATTGTGTGAAACTGGCCATCTACCTGGTGTTCTTCGGCATCTTGCTCACATTCTACGGCTTGCCGATTCACATCATGCGTGACCTTTTCATGACAGCCAGATCTGTCATTAAGAGGGGTTCAGCACTGTGGCGCTACCGCAAGGCTGTCGAAGACATGAACAAGTATCCTGACGCTACTGAGGAGGATTTGGGACGAGAGGATACATGTATCATCTGCCGAGAGGAGATGCGTCCCTGGGACCCAAGCAACGGGGCCGTCGAACGTGTGCGACCTAAAAAGCTTCCGTGTGGACATATCCTACACTTTGGATGCCTCAAGAGTTGGCTTGAGCGTCAACAAGTCTGTCCTACCTGCCGAAGCCCTGTTGTCATTACGAACAACAACAATAATGGCGCCGTACCGCAGAATCGGGACGCAATGTTCGCTAGAATTGGTCTCGGGGGGCTCGGAGCTGCGCCTGCTGTCCCACCTGGCCAGCAACCGCCTGCGAACCATGCACCGGGCGCCGCTCTCGGCGGCCAGCCAGCTCAGCAACCGCCCCGCAACGGTGCAGCGCGAGTCTTCCAGCTTGGCCCTCTCCGCCTCGGTTTCGCCCAGGGCGAGAACATGCAGCAGTTGGCACAGCAAATGGGTGTTCCCCAGGAGGCCATCCCAACACCCTTCGCTCAGGGCGGTCCCGCTGGCCCTTTTACGCCCGCTGCACAAACGCCAGGCGGCAACAACATGCCAGCTATCCGGCAGCAGATTCAACAGCTCGAGCAGATGATACAGCGTGAGGTGTCAACCCTTCAGAGCATGCACCAGGAACTGCAGACACTACATCTTCTTACAGCAGAGCTGAGCCGTATTCGCCAGCTGCAGCAGCTTACAGAACAGGCCCAAAACGTACCCCAGAATCCTGGACCGACCCCGCCGGTGTTCAACCTGGGCCAGCCACAGCAGATGCCACTTCCGGCAATGTCGTTATCGCAAGTGCCCATCCATCATACCCTGCGTGTGAACGGCCCAGTGGTGACACGGCATGGAGCCGCAAACCACTCCAACGCAATTCCGGCCGGCAGCTCTGAGCTCCCAGAAGGCGTAGTGATCCCACCTGGATGGTCACTTCTTCCTCTTCAGCGGATAGAAGGCGCCCCCGGATCTCAGCCCTTCCCCGAAAGGCCGTTGTCGGCGTCGGGCGAGACAGCTCAGCCTTCGGAGGCACCTGTCCCGCAAGCTCCAGTCGTTGGCGTGACCCAGGATGCCGACTCAACTCACGCTGCTACGAATGACTTCTCAACGCGCTCTACCATCCACGAGCAAAGACAAGAGCCCGTTGGCTCTGGTCATGATGTCTCCACGAATCAGACGGACCCGCCGCCGGTCCTTGCCCCGAACCCGGTGCTACCTAACTGGGGCGGAGCGAACCAGCTTTTCGGCAACGGACGTGGTTTGCCGGGATTGGGCAACAACGCCCCATCGGAGACGTCTATCGACGAACCCCCGAGATACGATGAGGACGCGCCTAGAAGTTCGCCAGAGAAGACGTCCGCCACGGCCCCCGCGGTGGCCGAGGGAAGTGCCGAGGAGGAAGGCGGTAGTAGTAGCAAGGGCAAAGCCAAGGCCAAGGCTGTCACGGTCGAGGAAGCCGTTGACGACGACGAATAAATACGGCCAAGGAGCAGGCATTACGTGGCGTTTAGGGCGGTATTCTTTTGGTTGAAGTGTAAAAATCATACCAATTTTCTGTAGGATTACTAGCGAATATTAAGTACGCGAGATAAGCGCTCTTCGAGGAACCGTCTTCTATCCATCGTATCAGGCATAATGACTGAGTATGTCACGCGTGTGCTGGCTTCAAATAACTTGATAATGAAGATGCCCATTTGTCCAAGGTAATGCGTACACCTGACGACCACGAATCGACATGAGACCACTACATGATTGATGTTTGGAATCTGATAGAATTTCCCGAAGCTTTTCCCTCGAAGACCGAAATAATGGACATGGGGGAAACAACATGTCTAGATGCAATCCTTGAATTGGTGAGATGATAAACCATACTGCCTACACAAGCAGGGTTATTGACAAGATATGTATATATACCAATTCATTGAATCCGACTCGCCATTCTTCGTCCCGCATTATGACCTTCACGCCCCCCATCCGCACTGGACGGCACCTCGGAAACATCGCCACCAATATGATACAATGAAGCTCCCCATTTCCTTGCCATATGCCATCAATTCCATCCTTCGTAAGCCTGAAATATTGCTGCTGTATGATGTAATTATTAGACACGAGTCCCATACTTCATTACCCATTATGTGTCGAGCACATCGCGCTGCTCCTCCATAGGAAGTGCAGGCGTCTCCCACAACGGGGCACCCTCTCCCCTCTCCCAGGCGGTACCCGGACCTTGATACGCCGGCTCTTGGATCTGTGCCTGCTCACCACCCAGATTGCGCAAAACACTCGTAGTCGCGCTGCCTTTCACCGGCTGCGGACTGAGTACCACTCCTTTAGACGACTGCGCAACATAAGTAGGTGGAAACACTCTCTCCGAGCCGAACGGCAAGGAACGTTTCGGGATCTCTCGACTCACACCCTCAGGTCCACCTTCACCACCACCGAGCTTCTTCAACAAAGCCTCTGACTGCTGCTTAGCCAATTCCTGAAGCTGTGCAGAAGGGTCCTTGGGGCGCAAGGGCAGGTTAGTATATTCGCAAAGACAGTCTGCGGGAGTCCACCGAATTCCATGCACACATACCCAGTCAGTCTGCGGCGGCACGCCCTGGGCGACCGGCAGTTCCTCATCATCCTCTCCGTCGCCAGGTTTGGGGCCACCGCCCCAGAACTTTGGCCGACGGATAGGTGCAGGAGTGACTGGAAGACTAGGTCTGTCGACTACGCTAGGGAAGTCTGTGAGCTTGAGCCCATGCTCCTTTGCTGTCTTTCCATCAGAGGTTCCCACCGAGCCCTGGCTCTTCCCACGACGATGCTTCTGGAGACCCTCGACGTAACGTTCGATTTCGGGTACTTCGTCCCAGGCATTCGTACGTGTAAAAGCGGTCCAAGGGTCCGACGGGCTGACTTTGATAGTTGGAGTGGCTGGGGTGCTGGGCTCGCTCTTTTGACCAGTCGTCGATGATCCTAAAAGAGACGGCTCAGCGGGAGCCTGGGATGTGGAAGACGCCGTGAAAGACGCCGCGTGCTCACCAGTCGGCGTGCTCGAAGATTCTTCGGCTTCCGGCTCGGCCAAATCCGCAGTGAAGACTCTGGTCGGCTTGGGTTGGTTGATCTCCCATGGGAAGAGGTGACGAGGCTTCTGCGTTGGCTTGTCCTTCGGAACCTCATACCACATGTTTCTTGGGGGACTCGGGTATCGTTGGGGGGGCACAAATGGAGCGGGGTCCTGAGACATCTCATACGTCTGTGAAGGGAAGTTGAGTGCCTCTGGTCTTGAATCTGCCGGTGGGGGTTGTCTGGTATAAAGTTAGTATCAGAAGAAAGAGCTAGTGGGCTATATCATTGACGAACCTCTGAGCGTCCCATGCTGGCGGAGGAGTTGGCTCTCTTGGTTGCTCCACTGGTACTGATTCACCCCGCCCCTCATGTGCTGAAATCTGCTCTGATCGAGCCTCAGCTTGCGTTCCAGCAAAAGCACCAAATGAATCGCTCGAAGGGGGTAACGAATGGCCAGCCTGATACGCGATCTCAGGCTGGGATCCTTGACCATGATGGGGCTGTTCGTGATGAACACATGACTGGAAAGAGCCAGCATCGTGAGCATCATGGTGGGAAGGGCCATGAGCCGGATGACCCGAGGAAGAGGGCACCGTCTGGTAGTGTGTGCCACCGTGGCTACGGGGCGTTTCCGCCCCGTGGAAATGCTCACCCGTTGATGCTGCTTGCGCAGCTTGCGGCTGGAATTCTCCTTTAGTAAAATACTGTACAATCTCAGGAACCTGCTGTTCCTGATGTGTCTGCTGCTGCTGGACAGGAGTATGCTCCTCCTGAACCTGTGGCTGCTGCTCTTGTGGCGGAGCAGATGCTGTTTCCTATGGAGACGTAAGCTCTTGTTCTGCCCGAAAGAAAACGACGTTGGGAGACACACGGCAACTCTGTAATGCCGGTCGTAAACGGCCCACCATCTTCCAATCATGTCTTCGAATGGTGAATCTCCTTTGCTCGCTTGTCGACCTTGGAACCACGGCTTGTCGGGGCCAATGAAATGCACCATGTTGATGCTGGACTGGAAGTGTCGGTACGCAGGCACGTACTGGTAATGTGCCGAGGGTGTGACATTGTAGGTGAAGCTGATGCGATTGTACGTATTCTTGAAGTGCATGTTGAGGAGACCTTGGTCGGCACCATCGAAAGAAATGCCCCTCTCCGCCATCGCCATGAGAGCATAGTAGTCTCCCATGTTGGGGCTCAGAACCATTACACCAGTATTGAAAAGATCCGGCCATCCGATATCGGGTGCGGCAGAGAAGGGCGCGGCAATGTCGAATAGTTCGTCAGGAGCTCGATAGGCGACGACATCGGCATCGATGTAGACAATTTTGGAAAATTGAGTCTGGCGCCAGAGGTTGACTTTGGTGAAGGCTGAGTGGAGATCAGGCCGGTTCATGAGGTACAAGTTCGCTGGTCGAGCATTCCGAATGCGCGGCACGGGGATGACATGATCGTAGACAGCCTGCACCGGGGAGGCATCAGTACATTGTACGGAGAGATCAATTGGCGCCAAGGTTGTCGCGAGCTCACCTTGAGTTCTGTGATAACCTCGGCAGATACGGTATCGAGCGTGACGAGCACGACCAGCTGTTTCGAAGTGCCGGCATCGCGGAGAGAATGAGCAAGAACCAATGCGCCTGGTTACAATTTGGTCAGCAAAGCTTTGAAAAGTAGATCGAGGGCCAGAAACTAACCTGGAAGGTATGCGTCGTTCAACAGAAGCTATGCGAAAGTGGCTGTTAGCTCTTTGTTTACTTTTTTTTTTTTTTTCCTGTGCTCGCTGGGCTTTGCGATGGCGATTGGGGATACGAACCGTCGCATAGACCTGTTCTCCTCCACGAAGCGGCGCCATTGTGTGTGTATGGCGTTGCGAGACACAAAACTAAAGAGCAGGATCAACGATACAACGACACAGGATCTGTTTTTTCAGCGAGTGGCCATGAACAGTATATTACAGGTTTTCTCGTAGGAGGTTGGAAGTGTTGAGTGGCACGACAAAAGTTGTTTGCGAAGTGACGGACAGCGGATGGGCGTGGCGGGGATGAGGAGCCGTGCGTCCACGTTCAAGTCGAGGCCCGGTCCAGGTTCAGTCCAGGTGCAAGCTGGTGCGGAGAGAGAGGGAGGCGTGGAGGTGGAGGGCAGCTCTGAAGTGGGTTCGCTGCAGATGTCGGCCAGGGTACCTTGGCTATGCGAGAAGTAAGTAAGTATCCGCGGAGGAGCCTGACAATATGATGTGGTTCTCCTTCGTATTCCGCCATGTATCCGGACCTACCTGGGAGACGACGTTGCGGGAGAGAAGAGGTAGACGAAAGGTGGGAAAACGGGAGGAAGGAGAGCAAACCCGGAAAGGGACGTCACCGGCACTGGTTTATCAGAGTGAGGAGAGTGAATCAATGTCAACGCCTGTCGCGAAGAGGCATGCGCAAAATGGGACGTAGAGGGTCTAGACAGCCAAGCGGTTGGTCTGTGGCTCGTAATCATGTCATTAGCGGGAAATCGTTGTTAGTCGCGATGCCTGTCATTTTCCGTCCTGTACGAAGACCAAGAGCTTCGGGTCATTGTGCAGCAAAGCTAGAGTCGCACAACCTGATGGGGACGTACCGGTAAGAAACGAAGACGGGCTAGCAGCAGCTTTAGTTCAACGCTTCAGGTATCTCTACCTCTACCTGAGTGGAAAGAGAGCAGAGCTACGGAGTATTGGTATCGTACTCCGTAGCGAGGTCGATGATGCGTGACTGGGGACCCAGATAGAGCTTCGCGGCCTAGGACAGGACGGAAAGGGCGGCGTGGGTCGTTGGGAAGCTGCACAAGCAAGGCCGTTGCAGCTACGGAAATTGCAACTGAGCAAATACAGCTGGGATATTATAAGGTAACTGCCATTCTAGCTGCAAATGAACGAGGGCCAAAGGAAGAAAGAACCTTTTTGTTCCAGATAAGCTGTTCGAAGCAAGATATTCCAAGGTACGGAGTAGGCACGCGTGTATTCTTTTTGGCAGATGGAAGGATGGACGCAACGAAAAGAAGGAAGCGGAAGCAGGAGCTTCGACTACCTAAGATACCCAAAGTATCTACGTACCTGAGGTACCTACCGTAGGTACCTAAGGTAAGGAGCATCTGACGTCTGTGAAGATACCTTAATGCGCAAGCTTATGAGGTACTTGAACACTTGAATTACGCCGTTCCAGCGGGTCTTTGCATGCTGAGGTACCTTTACCTAGTCCCGGCGTGTTTGGGAGCAACCCACCCTGAAGGTTCGCGCGCTGAAAAGCAATGGACTCGAACGGCTGCCAAGGAAGGTCAGAGCTTGTGCACCTCTTCGGACTGTGCCCCGGCCTGGTCATACCTCACCTCACTTGTCGCGGGCGTGAAATTTTCCTCATCACAAAGGCCTTCTTTCCTGTGTTTGTTCGTGTTCCTCAATCCATTCCCCTACTATATGAGAATTCCAGAGGTAGAAATGAAGGCTCAACGGCCACACGCGACTCAGATATTTCAGGCCATTCTTGCCGAGGCTCGACACTCGTTCCTTCAACCTTGTCTTATTACTGCGTAGGTTCTTCAGGAACGTCCCATATAAATATGTCACTCGCCCTTGGGTCCCACAACTTGCAGCATGGTAGCGGAACTGGAGGCACGAGACATTGCTGCAGCTTCTGCTAGCCCGGCACAAGGTTTCTCAAGGAAGAAAAAAACAGTCCAGCTCCTATGATGAAGAAGCTTACTTGAGGGTAACAATGAGGCAAAGTAGAAGACTATCAGAGTAGGTAAGAGAACTGAGAGCTGTTGAAAATTACTAGAGAGTGAAACTCCTTGAAATTGAAACATGGGCAGAGTACTCCGTAGAAGAAAAAGATTGGCAAGGCTGGCACGCAGACCCCTTTCTTCTCCCAGACTTTGGACCTCCCTGTCCATTTCTGGTGCCTTCAAGCCCCCAAATCACTCGATATTTCTCTTCAGCTTTCGTGACGCATTTTCTAGACGTCTCGGAGCTTCTTGCTATTTCTCAAGGGATATGCCTCTCAACTTCTTGCTCGTCTCAACAGCAATCTCCCTCCATTACTGGGCCTTCAATGGGCATTTCAGTTGAGCAATTTCATCTTCATGCTCACAGAGGCCAAGTATCAAAGCGTCTGATGTATTTCCTCGGACATCCTTACCATGGAGCCCCTCGTGAGATGATCTAGGTTCTTACGTGCATAACCATTGCTAGCCGCCACAGTCATCCTGGTTCATCACTCAATCCTTTTCTTGCTCCGATAATGGGCATTACACTTTGACCATCTCATGACGGCGATCCCACCCAGCACGCTCAGGTAGTGTGCAAAGGTTTTCGGAGGTGGAAAACTGCCCGTGGGCAGAGGTCACCAACCCCTCCTTCCCCACCCTTCAAGCTATCGAAGCTGTCAGCCTGAAGCTGGGAAAGTCTGCGTACCATGTCCGTAGTTCCTCCATCTCATAGGTAGTGGTCTAAGGTAGTTGTTGAATGGAGGGCGGGTAGTTTCATGATATGAACGCAGCTTCCCCGCATCTACCGGCTGCCTTCCTTTACCCCCTCCGAGACCCAGACTCGCATCGCCTGCCGTTGGGAAGTTGCGAGGTTGGAGAAAAAGGAATACCAGGAGAAGGAAATGACGTGAGGTGAACTCGGGAAGCTCCTTGCACCTCCCCTCCCGCATGTCTTGCCCACGGCTCCTGGACCTATCGTGCTGTCCAATCTGGTGATCCGGGACATGGGGGCTTCCTCGATCGGAGAAAGATGCTTCCCATCAGGAAAAAGACAAAGGACCCTTGGAAAGGCGAATCGAGCCATGCGCCGGATTAATTTACACAAACTCTCCATCACCTCTCGTCGGGCCCTCTCTCACCTCATCCGTCCACCGGCACCTTTTCCTCTCAATCTTTGCCCCGCCTTACTACTGCATACCACTGCATGCCTGACGTCCCTCCCCAGCTCGCCTAATCCCCCGTCAGTTCTAGGTATGCTGCAGACAGACTGCTGCATCATACTCGTCATCCGCAATGGAAGGTCCCGGTGCTCATGACCACCACCAATACGCTATTGACGAGGTCATCTACCCGCCCAGTCCTGGTTGGTCAATGTCAGAGCCAGAACTGCAGACGCAAGCCGTCATTGTGAGTCTGCATCTGATCTTCTGTCCATCACCGAGTTCCGTATCTGGATTCCACCATGGTTGCGGCAGGATGCCGGAAGACGTTGGACACGAGTGTGGACCATCTGGAGATATCCATCCTCTACACTATGGAGTAGCATGGCACTACCCATGCCTACTCACTCGCCCCAACACTTTACACAAACGTCACATGAGCTGAGGGATGCATTGAGGCGGGCAAAGCAAGAAGGACCCTGTGGACCACCTCCGCATCTCGGTGCGGGGATCCAACATCTCTCGCAGCTCAAGCTGATGATCTGCATCAAGGGTCTACCCGGCACGGCACTTTCAATCCTGCAGTCACTGGACCGGTCGTCTTACTGTGTACAGACTCGGAGCCTGTTACCTATTTACCTACCTACCACAATAGGGCCTCACAGCATTTTGCATGTTCAAAGCCCTGTCCGTTTTCTCGTTGAAGCGATCCTTGCTGGAACCAATCTCAATTATAATGTTTAAGCACACTCACTTCTTATAGCCATTACAGCCAATCACCGTGGAGCCTCGCCCGCGCCGCCTAGACTTTTTCAGTCTCCCTTACGAGCTCCGCCTAGACATCTACGAGCTCCTACTCCTCAACCCGGAGCCCATTATCGTGTCGAGCAGCCGCCGCCAGCTCCACGTCAAAGTTGAGCCGCCGGAGCACCAAGTCGCCTACCTACGGGCTCCCCGCCCGAGACCTCGCGTCGTATCGCTGACCCATAGGAAACCTCACGTCGAGATCCTACGGACATGCAGGCAGATCGAACAAGAAGCCACCCCGATACTCTATGGCCGCAATGACTTCGTTGTCGGATTGAGGCTACGGGCGACGCAGAGCCACCGGATGGACCCCTTTATCCAATATCTGCGTTCATCGACACTGCTTCAGCTCCGCTCAGTCACATTTCGGCCGGGCTGTTGTTGTGATCAGTGGCTCAAGTCTCTTGGTAGCGGCCAGAATGTCGCAAGCACGATAAGCCGTATGCAGCTCATTGAGCAGAGAGATCACCAGCAAGTATTTTGGGACATCGAGACAGCCCTGTGGCAGAGTGCGTATCCCCCATTTGCTTAGGACAACCTTGGGATGCTAACGTCAAGTGAATCCAGATGTTGTGGGCAAGAGCAGAGTCTGTGCCTTTTGCCATACCACTACTGGGGAGCGGATATTCATATGAACCGTACAGAGTATGTCCACAGAGGCTGGCCCTCGCATCATACTGGTGTCAAAACCTTAATGGGCCGAAAAGGGGTTGTTAATGGTTATGAAAAGCTCTTGTCACTCGAGTCGGCCCCAGAAGGAACATTGGGAGCCATCAGTGTTCTGTTGCGGTGTAACTGTCATAATAATGCTCTTCAATGTTTCTTGTGAAAGCTTTGCTATCAACTATTTGGCGTATACTATTACACATCTTTACAGGTCCTTCTTGAACGCATGCTCCGGCTTGTGTGTAGTCTCATAGTCGATATGTACGTAGGCCCGCTCCACATCCGGTAGACTCTCCAACTTGACTTGCAGCGCCTCTGCCACATCGTGCGTCTGGGCTAGTGTATTGGCGGGGTCCATGACGATGTCCACCTCGGCGATGAGCCGTGGGCCCGAGTGATAGACACGCACCGTGTCGATGCCCTGAATGGCAGGGGAGTGCGTCAAGCAGACGTAGGTGATGAGCTGCTGGGTCTCGATCGAGGCGGTTACACC